CATAAACTGAATTCGCACGCCGGCCCCGACTTGCTGATGTCGATCTTGCGTCAGAATTATTGGATTCTTTCTGCACGTAGTTTAATACGCAATCGGGTGCACAGATGTATAGCTTGCTTTCGGGCACGCCCCAAGCCGTCATTTCCGGAAATGGCGGAACTTAGATCTTGTAGAGTAATACAATCAGTAAAGCCCTTTACGCACACCGGGTCTGATTTCGCTGGTCCGTTTAAGGTCACGCTCACTCGCGGGCGTGGTATAAGATCCACAAAGGCTTACGTCTGCATTTTCGTATGTCTAACTACTCGAGCGGTGCATATAGAACTCGTTGGTGATCTAAGCACAGCAGGCTTTATGGGTGCATTTAAAAGATTTCTATCCCGCCGTGGCCCTGTAAGTAAATTATATTCGGATAACGGTACGAACTACGTTGGTGCAAAACGTATTTTATCAGAACTACATGAGCTCTTAGCTAGCAAGTATTATAATTCGGAGTTCGCTCACATTCTAGCCGAGAACCGCATTGAGTGGTCTCTGAACGTCCCAGCCGCGAGTCATTTTGGGGGCAATTGGGAGACTAATATTAAAAGTCTAAAGAGCCACTTATACCGAGTAATAGGAGATCAAATTTTGTCCTTCGAAGAGCTAAGTACGGTGCTCGCTCAAATTGAATGCGTAATGAATAGCCGCCCACTTTGTCGGACGTTATCTAGTGACCCCTCGGAACCGCTGGCTCTAACTCCAGCACATTTTTTGAATTTAACGCCTCTAAGGTATCTGCCCGCCGCGGATATGGATGAGAACAGACTTAGCATTTCCGCACGCCACAAATTATTAGATCGGTTAGTACAATCGTTTTGGAAACGATGGAGGATGGAATACTTGCATACTTTGCAGTCTCGGCAAAAATGGAACACAGCGACAGAGCCTTTAGCGATAGGAACCGTAGTTGTGCTCACTAAGGAGAATACGCCGCCTCTCCACTGGCCGTTAGGAATCGTCGAGGAGGTTTTCCCGGTTCCGACGGAGTAATTAGGATAGCTCGCGTTAAGACCACGGTTGGGTCTTACCTACGTCCTGTTGTCCGTTTGTGCCCCTTGCCTCTTCCATAATTTAAATTAGCTTTCTAGATTAGAAATTGTAGTTGAATTTAGGTAATCTTAGCGTTAGTTAGTTATTTTGTTAATTTGATCTTAGCTCTAGTTGTTTTAGTTATTTTTTGAAGGAAATCCTTCAAGGGCGGGGGAGATGGTTGCGCGGAAAACCATTCGTATTTATTTATTTTGACGGTAGGCTGCCAAATCGGTTATCCCTTTCCAAAACGATATCATTCATACCCTCCTATCGACATATCGGGGTGGTGGGGTGGGAGGGGAAAGAAGATGATTCTAGAATATCACGTAATCATCGCAACCGAAGGTATAAAAGGCACGCCCGACCGACGCGCACCCTCTTCCCGCCGCGCTCGTTGTTGGAACCACACCGCTAGTAGAACCGCTTTAGCCTGGAAGCAGTCGAGCTCCAGGAAACCCGCCTCACCTCGTGTAAGAAATAGTCGCGCACCGCCTCTCTCCCGACGCGTCATCGGACAAGAAAGGCAGAGAGTCTACCCAGAGTGTCTGTCCAGAAGAAGTTGCAGACGTCGCAGCTATAGTGCCCAACAGCATAGAAGAGACACCCCGGTGAATGAATATTCCTAATAATATTGTCTGCTTGATATAATTGTGTTTTAACCCGCTCCAATTTTGTTTTCTCCTAATCAAGCAGGATTCCTTTCATGGATTTGGAAAATTTTTTTTTTATTTATTATTTATCAAAAGTATTCTTACATATTTGCTTGATTTGTACCATTAAACCAATAGTGGTTTGTATTGGTACTCACATTCGTAACTAACGCACTGCTTTACATATAAATAAATACGCCTTCTTTATTTTGTAAGTGGTAAACACCCATTTGCAATTCTCACCTGGGACTATTCGACGAACCGGTTCTATTAGGCAGCGCAGTCTTCTTAACTTTATACAGGCTGTTTCACTATTATACAAACTAAATTATAACTATGATTCTAAATGATGTTATAAGACGATGTTCTTTATATTATTGTAATAATATTTTTTGAGTTTATGTTTATAGTTTTTTGTGTTTAAATCTTTTTGAATGTTTTGCGGGATGTTGTTTATAAAAGTTGGGATTAAAAATTCAATAGTTCGCCTACCATAGTAATTTGAGATCCTAGGCACAATTAATTTTTGTTTAGTAATATTTCTTGTAATTACTGTATGAGATGGTATTTGGATGCTTTTATTGTTGAATTGTTCAATTAGGGTCATGTGAAGTTTCATATGCATTGGTAAAATATTACAGTAATTAAAAATGTCTAATACGTTTTCTTTATATTGTTGTATTATTTTTTGGGGTACAATAAGTTTAAGTAATCTTAGCTGTAGTTTATATATTTTTTCAGTATATGACTTAAAGGTTCGTCCATAACTTGAGATTCCGTATGATATAAATGACTCAGCTAAGGCTTTATATATATTCAGCAGGATTTCATACGGGACTTTAGGCTTTAAGATATAGAATTTAGCCAGTATAGCTCGTAACTTCTCACAGAGAGAATCTATGTGAAATCTCCAGCTAAATCTATTGTCTATAATTAGTCCTAAGTAAGTGTGATGCGTTACTTGTTCTATTGCCTCACATTTACAAGCGTTAGTTGAAGCGCAAGATGAAGTTGATCTGTGACTGTGAGCAATGATCTTAAAATACGTGTTGTGTTTTAGATAGCTTGAGTGAACGTGAATCACTTTGGTTTTATTTGCATTCAAGACAAGTCCCGCATCATGTGACCATTTGGATACCTGTGTAAAATCCTGCTGCAGCCATTTAGCGGCTTCTTTTAGATCTTTGCTGGCCGCCAAAAGGCACGTGTCATCTGCGTATTGATAAACGGAACAATGGTTGACAATATGCTCCATATCGTTGACGTATGCTAAATAGTGCAAGGGTCCAAGCACCGACCCTTGAGCTGTTCCTTCAGTAACATCTATAGCGTCGCTGACTTTATCACAAATTTTAACTTTATATTTGCGATTATTGAGGTAATCTTTGAACCAATCTAAAATTGGACCGCGTACACCGGTATTCTCTAGTTTATTTAAGAGAATATCGTGTCGAAGCGTATCAAATGCTTTGCTGAAGTCTATGAATAACAAAATTACGTGGTTTCTGTCATCTAGATATTCGTTTACATCATTTGTAAATTTTGACAGCAGTTTAGAGGTAGATTTGTTAGGTTGAAAGCCGTATTGTGAATTTGATAGGATGTCATTTTTATTGTAAAAGTCTTGTACCTGATTACAAACATATTTTTCTACTATCTTGTCAATGACTGGTAGGGTAGTAATTGGTCTATAGTTGGCATAATCACTGTGACTACCTTTTTTATATATCGGTCTCACTATACCTATTTTTAATTCATCTGGATACTTTGCTTGGCGCATGCTATTATTTATTAATTTAACAATAATTCCTACCATCTTATCACAGATAGATTGTATGTCAATACATCGGATATTATCCACACCAGGAGCTTTATTGATTTTAAGGTTTCTTACAATCTTCGTCACACTTTCATTTGAGGCTCTTTTAAAATACATAGATTTATTTTCGGGGAACATATATTCTGATTCATTTAGAAGCCGTTGGTTACATTTTGGCAGGATATTTTTTAACACAATTTCTAAATTCTTTTGCAAAGTTATTAGCTATTGATTTTGTGTCAATATTATTTTTATTAAATGTTTTTAATATTGCCTCATCCATTGAATTTTTGTTTCGACCAGATAGTGTATTCAAAATTTGCCATAGATTTCTAAGATTCATTTTATTACTATTTATTTGTTTCATATAATATTTATTTTTACACTTTTCTATTATTTTACGTGTCTTATTCCTTAATTTATTATACTCTAATCTTAGTAATTTGTCCGTGGGATCATTTTTCCATTTAATGTATAATTCGTCCTTCTTTTTACACATGCTATTAATTTTACTATTTATCCAGGGGTCTTTATTTCTATTACTTATTTTATTACTTTTTTTGATATATTTTGAATTATTGTAACAATCATTGAATTTATTTTTGATGCAATTGTTATCAATTTATTTATGATTATCAATCTGTTGGATTATTTTTGTATCACTCTGTATTTGTGTTTGGTCGAATCCTACGCACGAAAGTATAATCATGCGATGGTCAGCCAATACAGTTCCGAGCGCGGCCGAGTACAGATCTAACGAGCGCGTACGAGTAAAAATGTGATCTATGCAACTGCGAGTTGTTTCCTTACCGCGTATTTCAATTCTTGTGTAATCGGATATCGCGCTTGTTAGACCGCTCTCGGACATACTACTAATGTAGTAGTCTCGGTTGTTGTCGCATGTTTTTAAGTCTATGTTAACGTCGCCTAAGAGATAAGTGTCACATAGTTGAAACATAGATTTTGATAATAGGCTACTTATTTCCTTTACAAATAGGTGCTTACTCTCACTTGGTGGTCTATAAACAGCACAGATGTAAGCGGAGTATTTGTAAGGCGTAGTGATCTTACCGTAAATAATCTCACAGTGTATTAACGAGTGACTTACTGGCGCGAATGAGTGAACATCTCTAACATATAGAATTATACCACCGCCTTTTCTATTTTTTGCGCAACATACTGTGCATTCTATAGCCATAAATATTAAATATAGAAACTATATTGTTATTTATGTTTACTTCGCTTAAGATTAAAATATCAATAATCATTTTAGAAGAGTTAATTAATTGTGTTACATAGCAAAAATGTTTTATCAAAGATCTTATGTTAATGTGGACAATATTAAGATAGATTTTATAAATAGGGGGTATATGCAAGCGAAAGTTGTTAATATCTGCACAATTTAATATTTCTTCATGGTCAGAAAAGAGGACTTGGGTTACTAATTTTGAAATCTATTACCGCTTGGAACTTTGGCCGATTATTTCCGTTAGTGCTGAGAGCTTCTCAATGTCAGCTTCGCTTCGCGCGACCTTAGGCTTAGATTTGTCGTCTTTACGTAGTAGCACCTTTCCATCTTGGAACCAGACGTATTTGTAGGCCGGTCTTAGTTTTTGTTGTGCTAGCCATAATAACGACTTATTGGCTTTGGTCAGGGCGCGTCGTATGATCACTTTCGTCTTAGCAACTTCCACAGGGGCCTCGGAGATGATTTGTTCTACCACTACTGCTTCCTTTTTCGAGGCTCGCACCCGTAAGCTTACATTTTCTGCATGTTTGAACTGCACTTGGATGTTTCCATCTTGGTTATTTCGACCTTCTACACTAGCAATATTCACTACTTGCGTCCTGTCCATATTGAGTGTCTCAGCTAGTTTGAGAGATATATTTACAAGGTTTTCGTCTTTAGCTTTAGGAATACCTATCACTTCTATCACATTGTCTAAACGCTGTTGTTCAATATTACGTAGATATTGTTTCAGTGAGCTCATTTCAAGCTCAAGATGGGTTTTTTCGTTATGAAGGTAGTTGTACTTCTTTTATAATTCCTGGATATGTTTGTTTTGAGCTTCGACAATTTTGGAAACATCCTCAATTTTTGTGCAACAGAAGCTCACTGATGCTTCGATTGGTTGAAGTTCTTTCTTTAAAACTTTTTTCATTTCTGCTGTTATATCTTTTAGAAACTTCTCTGTGTCTATCATACAATTGCCGGAGCTATTGTGAGAGACCGTGACATCATTGTCTTCATCGTCTTCTTCTGGAATAATGAAGGATGACTTTCTGTTAGGTGTATTCTGATGGCACTCTTCGCATGTCCAGTCTAGTCTGTCAGCATTACGAAGCGCAGATAGTTGCTTCGCGTTGAGACCAGAGCAAGCTTTACTAGCATGAACCACCTTGCCACAGGATCTGCATTCCAGTCCGGGTACCTTTGTGGTTATCCCTTTGTTACAGATGTCACATTTAGTCATTTTCTTTTCGTATTGAAATTTTATTTACAAGGGTAGTTACCAAACGTATAGAATAGTGTTACCACAGAACCGACACACACAGCAGCGCGAGAACGAATTTATAATAATATATATATAATAATAGTTCGTTTTAGGGAAGAGCGAGTGCATTGTACCGCATGTTATAGTCGCCGTTTATATAAGTGTAGAAACGTTTTGTAGATACAGTCCACTTAGATTAATAGCTCGCGTAATAGGTTTTAAGGTTCAACCGGGGAATTAGACTTCGGCAACCTTAGGCTCGACGCTCCACCAATGAGTATTATATTTATTCAAATAAAACTAATTTAAGTATGCCTTTTTAGAATGGAAGATAAAGATTATAGAAAAAAAAGTCAACCGTGTTTATCAATAAAACGAAAAGAAATTCGTTCATTCGTAAATCGAAAGGATGGGTAACGCCAACTTCTAAAATCAACAGATATACCACATAACATACTATTGCACATAGGTATCATACGTAATATTATTTAGTCTGTGATCATACTTTGATTGGTAGGTGATAGACCGAAATTTATTTCGCCAAAATATAAAACTACGTACGTATTCCACAACTACGTACCAATCTAAAAGTTTTGGTGTGTGGACTGTTTATTCATTAAGATGATTATTATTTAGGGGCAAGTCCCGATGGACTTATCGGAGATGACTCTCTAATTGAATTCAAATGTCCTATTTCTGCTTTTAATATGCCACCTGTGGAGGCCATAACTGAAAAAACATCAATTTTTTTATACGAGGACAGATGATTTTAAAAAGAATTCATGTTTACTATTATCAGGTCCAGGGAAAATTACATATTTATTTATTCACCTACCTAATTAAGTGTAATTTCGAAATCTTTTTATTTACAGTCCTTATTCAAGAAATTGTGCGATTGGATCACCAGCTTTCTTGCGGATCGGAGCATCAAGGTCGTTGGAGATGGTGCAAGCTCCGATTGCAAGCCTATTAATGCTGGTGTTCCACAAGGCTGCGTGCTATCGCTAACGCTGTTTCTTCTGCATATCAATGATATGTTGCAAACCCGTAACATTCATTGCTATGCAAATGACAGCACTGGTGATGCTCTTTACACCAGCCGAGCCAATATTTCTCGGGAAAACGTCTCCGAGTACCGGGACAAACTTGTGTCTGTGTTTTGTTGTGTGTCTGTGTTGTGTGTTGTGTCTATAGGAATCTATCGAATACCTACATAAACAAAATATCACCTATAAATAAAATATTACAAAGCGGAATAACTAATAAGAGTGGCAACGTCGCACTATACAAAGGAATTGCGTAGGTGGCACAAGTCGCGGGCTCGAACTCATTGGTGGGCGCGGTCAAAAAGCACGTTGTCTCACCTGGCATCGTGCCACTCGTACTAAATTATTAGGCGCTGCGTTATCGCTTTATACTATACCTCTATGGCTCTATAGATATATTGCTTATTTTATTATGTTTAGTTTTCCCCGGGTGGTCATGCAGCGATCACTCAAGAGTTCACGACGCCGAAGTATGAATTGGAACAGTCATCGCAGTTTATATCCGTACTAGCTGTTGCCAGCGGCTTCAAACGCGTGAACTCGAAAATTATCCCACAAGAACGAAATACCTGAATAAACGGTATCAAATGTGTTATTCCAGACTAGGTATAACCTATCTCTGCGCTAAATATCATCCAGATCCCTTCAGCTGTTCTGGCGTGATTGAGCAACATACATCTATCCATCCAAACTTTCGCTTTGTTAAAAGAAAATTGGTCAAATAAAAAATAAAGGATGAAAATAAAGCATATGGGGATATAAAAATAAATCGTATTTATTTCTCATTTCGAGTTTTACAAGAAAAGTATAATATTTACTAGAGACAATTATTTTATTATTATAATAGTACATGATATTCCCTTTAAAATGACACCAATATGAATAATATCTTATATCTGTATCTACAAATAAATAAAATTGAAGTGTCTGTTTGTAATGTTAAAACAACAGCTTTTTATTAAATGCATATGAAAGTACTAGTAACAAAAACACAATTTTTAAAATTTTTATCTGTCTGTCGGTCTGTCTGTCTGTCTGTTTGTTCCAGCTAATCTCCGAAACAGCTGGATCTATTTTGACGGGACTTTCACTGGCAGATAGCTGATGATATAAGGAATAACTTGAACTACTTTTGTTTTAGAAAAAGAATTAGGGTTCCGCGCAAAAAAATTAAAACCCATGAAATCCATATTCCATGCGGGCGAGATCGCAGGGAACAACTAGTACTCAATATAGATAAATGTATACTTATTTTTATTTATTTATTATATTAATAAATAAATAAAAATAAGTATTAATAATTTCTAAATTTCTAAATTGTTTATGTATGTACATCTCAACAGATATTTCGTTAATAAATTGCTATCAATACTGAAGCATTCTTTTATATTTAGCATCCATTTAACACAAAAAACTGATAAGAATACTTTTTAAACAACATATAATCAATCAACGATAATCGCGTATAGTGCATTTCGAGGTAAATTATTATATGTAAACGTTTTTGAATCGTCGTAATGATACATATTTCCAAAAGAAAATATCTTCACAATTAATTTGATGTAAAATAACATTAGAAATAACGTATAAAAACGGAGAAATTATCAAATTTTTGATCGAGTTCCTAACCAGTACACAAACAAAAATGGCGAATAGTCATTTTCACATTTTTTTAGAAATAACGTATAAAAACAGAAAAATTATCAAATTTTTGATCGAGTTCCTAACCAGTACACAAACAAAAATGGCGAAATGTCATTTTCACATTTTTTTTTCTATATAGTTATTTGTTACAGAGTACACAGATAAAATTCACTCTCATAATGACAAATTTCAAACACCACAATCTCTAATTTTTTACTCTGCTATCTTCAGCGCTGTACACGAACGGAACGATGTCGTTGAGAGCCGTGGTTGCTCACATGGTTAGCGCTCGTTATAAATATCACAGTACGGGAGCAACCCGGGTTCGATCCCCACTGGCACCAATAAAATTGTTGCGTGCTGATTTAGCTATCAGTTGGAAAGTCTGTTTTGCTGGGCCGTTTTGTTTTGTTACACTGACATCTCACAAGTCACCTAGGGACCTAGGAGGTTGTCGGTTGCTTATTTTAAAAAAACGTAACAAACTTCTGCCAGATAAGGCAGATCTTTGGTGTTTTTGCACCATAACCTGACTCTGGTAAATAAATATGACTAGATAGCATTTCATTGTACTGTAAGGTTGATAAGTATCCAAGTAATAAATAGCGAAAGGATTAGTAGCTTGCATAAATATTTTCTTGATATCATTCCACACTACACGCTCTCCGTCTGTATTTATTGTAAAATTTTTCCCAAAGTGTGAAATTAGTTCTTTTAAATCAAAAATGTCTGAATAATCTAAATCATGAACTTGGTAGGGATTACCTTTCTTCTTAGCACATTGTATAATTGTCCTCCATTGAGATGGCACGAACACGGAACCATTTTTTAATATTCGGGATTTTTCTCTTTCAATAGGTGGCATGAACGCTATCACCCTCGTTCTGACTGTGCCCGACAACAAAGTATTTATGAGTTATGGATTTCACACCCAACATTTTTAAGGCATAATAATATAATGACAATAAATACTTATTCTTATTTTGTGCTGAGCAATTGTCGGTATAAAATATAACATGTTTTCCATGACAAAAATCTTTGAAAAACTGTAAAATACAAGATCCTACCTCGTCACATCCTTTTGCACCCAAAGTTTCGTCCCATAAATAACAATATCCAGATTTATTAACGATGTCATATACGGTACAATTATAAACATTAAGGCGTCTCTTATAAAAAAATAGCGAGTCATTAGCCGCTGGAGTTTGAAGAACCGCTTGCATGTCATAACAACAGATAATCTTTTGTTTGTCATTTTTGCATGTTTCTATATCTATCCTCTTCTCTTCTCTGCAAAGCTCTTTTTCTGTAAGATGATCTTTATAACTCTTTTCCATTTCTTGTTTCTGTTCTGTTATTGCATTATTGTAAGAACAGCAAATAGAGCACTGATCCTTCTTTGGTACATGAAAAGCTATATTAAATTCAGTTCTAAAAATGTCTTCATACGTTCCTTGTTTAGCTTCAGGCTTACCTTCTTTATTACACCACTCTTTGTATTGCCTGTACATCATACATAGATTTAAATCACCATCAAAATATTGTTTATTTGATGATGCTCGACAGTAGTGCGATTCCTTAGTAGGATATGAGTTTATGTGTTCACGTACTCCATCCTTAACAAAGTCAGGTAATAGTTTACCTTTCTTGTTATGCTTACCTCTTAAATCTTCTAAAACTATACCCGATGATGTTGTTTTCTTACATACCGTCGTTATAAATGAGTGCCCAATATCCAAAGTGTTCATAAAGAACTTTTTACATACCCTTATAATTATACCATCTACTGTTAAATGATAAGCCGCATTAATAGATCTTTTACTCTGAGCATTATGTAGCGAATATTTCGGCTTTACTTCTTTCATGGCATTTTTGACAAAATCTCGCTGTCTATTCAAATCACCTAATATCCAAAAATTATTGAATATTACTAATCTTTGCTGCTCATTAATCTTCAGTGTACACTTCAACCGACATTTGTCTCCACAACCAGGTTTTAATTGTTTAGCATTAACTAATTTTCCTTTCTCAGTAGTGTAAGCCATACCTGAATTTTTTAAACATTTCTTTTTATTTTTCTTCCATACCTCAGGATTTCGTTGTCTCTTTCTTGTCAACTTCTTATTTTCTTCCGAAGCATTATTTTTAGAAAGCGGGGTTGATGGTGACGGCTCTCTGTTATTTAGTTAATTTCTTCATATTCTCCTCCCCGTAAAATTTCAATAAGCTCGCCACCTAAGCAAACAAAGACCTCGTATAAAGCTATTGCATAAATAATTTAGAACTATGAAATACATGTTGATGGGCAGCAAGCTAGTTTATTAAAATAGTATAAAATATCATACTTAGATTAGAAGCTTCATTTGCTGGCTCATGCTGGCTGGCTACGAACCTATCGTCTGTACAACTTTCCATATTTATTGCCTGCTCAACACCTTAAAAAAAATTCAAACAGTTAAATAAATATACACACTATACCAAAACACAAAAATAATACATGCAGATAGGTACGTAGGTACCTCTATTATGTACTTAAATACATGAAGATAGGTACGTACTTCGATTATGTACTTCATTCAGAGGCAAATGATTCTCTTCAACATATTGCTGTATCTCACCAACTTCATTATTATTAGATATAAAAATAGGGCCTGGACATTTTTCTATGTTCAATGTCTGTTCAGCATCTTAAAAGCAATAAAAGCAGTTAATAGGAAAAAAAAACGTTTAATAACATGTATTAGATATTAAACACAAAAGTTAATAAATAAGCATATCGTATAAAACACATAAGTTATTTACCTAGACTTTGTAATTCATTTTGTGGCAAAGAACACTCTTCAACTTGCTTTATCTCACTTTCTGTAGAATAAAAGTGGTTAAAAATATAGCCAAAGCGTGCAAAATTTTAAAAGTGACGACTCTACAAAATACACAGAATACACACCTTTGTTTTCAATATTGGCGTCTTCATGGATTACCATTTGCAACATTTTCATTGATCTTCCATATAACTTAGACACAGACATTTTTGCAGATTGTATTACTTTTGACCATACGTCTACCAAGCGCAGCATGCACTGCTTAACTAAACAAACGCGCGCGAGACTCGAGCGCGATCGAGAAGCGTGGTGGAACAAATTTAATTCAACTTTTGATTTTGAGTGCCGTATTGGAATATTTCGAAGTGTCCCAATACTGAATAATACTATATGCACAGAGTAGAAGTGGAACTTTTATTTTTAATCGACTTCTATGTGGAGTTTGCCTTATTCCGATACTGATATAGAATTGGCACTGAAATAGTAATGTAACGCTCTTAAAAAGTTAAAAACCAAATTTTCAGAGATGTTCCACTACTGTTTTCGACCGACGATATGGTAAATTTTCAAAGAAATGAGTTAAACACTATCTTTGAAATTGTGACCAATATTCGCAGTCATAATGTATTAAAATTGCTTACAAGTGGTGGACGCTACAATAATGCGAAATGAAGGGACGGAGAATCAATATTGTGATATATATATATATATATATATATATATATATATATATATATATATATATATATATATATATATATATATATATTAGAGATGGGCCGAATGTGATTTGAACCGAATTCGAACTTCGGCCGAACTTCGGTTCATTTTCGCACGCTTTCTCGAGAGCGACGCGTCGTGACTTGTTTACGCATTTACATCAAATACCCCGCCCGCACACCGCAGGAAACATATACCTACGAAAAAAAACGTAACAAACTTCTGCCAGATAAGGCAGATCTTTGGTGTTTTTGCACCATAACCTGACTCTGGTAAATTTTAAATATGACTAGATAGACAAGAAAAGTTAGTTTAACTTGATTGTTGAAAACAAATACCCTTTAATTGTAATAAAAAATACTTGAGGTTAATGAATGTTGAATCAAAATCATTATTTTTTTATTTAATTTACGGACTCCTATCCAGATGTTTACTAGGAGAATACAAAGTTTATTTCATTTTTGTAATATGTTTATGTTTTGTAATTAACTAAGATTAAGGTTAAGAACTAAGATTAAGATTAATGATAAGATAGGAACTGATTTAATATAAGGTTTACATTTACAATGTTCCGAAATAAATAAATAAATAATTGAACCATGAGTGAGTAAAAATAATATCTTTTATTTTACAGTATCTAATGTTGTTATATAAAGTGCTTCTAAAATATATGTGTGTATTCTGTGTATTTTGTAAAGAGTCATTTAGTATTGTATTACAATTGGACTTATCAAGATCACCTTTTTCATTCTTTAATCGCTTTAGGTGTCAAAATATTTACTATAATAACTTCTGTTTCGTACGTGCGCTTTTAAATTTGGGATTAAAACATGATTGAATTAATTTCTATGCACAATCATTAGAGCGAAAACTGTGGTTTTCTTGTATCGTATGATAAGCCCAGACGCCTTCTGCCGCGGTGATATCCAAATCTTTTGAAGTTGGTGCGTCTGATTTCTTGAAAAAGGTTAACATCGAAGAACTCGAAACGGCGGCACGATCAGCATTTTATGTTTTTTAGACTTTAAATGCTGTTCAATATCACTGGCACCACTTAGGGAAACGCTAAATTCTGTACGACACTTTTCAAATCTGACATCTGAGGGAGTATTTATTAGCTTGATAAACGGATATTTTGCTTGTAAGTTAACATTGAACGAACACTTGCGTTCCGGCATTTTAACTTATGATTCCAAAACAAAAGAAGTTTAAGCTATTTACTAGGTACACAAGCAACAAACAACAGCAACAAAACAAATATCGAGAAGTGGCCGAACGAAAAATCTATCAAACGATTAGTCAACAAAGCGCGAGCGATGACTTCTTCGTCACTCTCAGCTATCATCGCGAGTGGCGAAGACATCATCGCTACCGCGTCGACCGACGATGGGTGTCGATCTCGCACACCGCTTGCGTCCGGCCGCGCCGGCACGGCAGCCGTCCGGCCCGCTCGACTCGAATACTCAAATTTTCGCGTGGTTTCATAAAACGGGATAATTTTGCGTCCCAGAGTTCATTTCGGGGACACCGGGACTCATAACTATAAAATGGGACAGTCCCGTTCAAAACGGGACGTCTAATCACGTTATTCATAACCAACACGTAAGAAAAAAATGTACAAAAATTTACTTATCTTTTTATTTCAATGTTATATTCATATTCCTGGTAGAATTGGCCGATGAATAAGAAAAATATAACTCAGATTAGAATAAGCTATTTATAAACAATAAAGCACGGAACAGAAAACAGGATTATATGTAACTGAATTATATTTGTTTCTGAATGCACCATAACCATGAACTTGAACTCTACAAAATATAAAAAACTAATAACAACTAATAATAATGTGCGTCTGTCTGAAACTGTTTGCAAAATGCGTAAAAGGTGTTTAATGTAACTTTGGTAGTTTACCGATTTATAATAATTGTATCTATTGTTGACCAAAAACATATTCAAACACATTCATATATGAAACACTGACACGTATGACGTAGGTAATCAGTATTGTGACGAAATTAAGAGAAAAATCACGGGCCAGCCTGCTGTTTCTAATACCACCGAAAAGATAATTGCGTTTTTAGAATAATTAATTACTATACCTACGATAAATTACAATATAGTCTCAAATATATATTAGAGAAATATTGCAATTCGAATCAATGAAAACATGCACACAAAATATGTATAATACACAAGAAATTCCGCGCGCAAATCATAGCGCGTGACAACCGAAATCAGAATGTATTTTACAGGTCAAACAAGTGAACGAAGTTTGGCAACGCTTTTTTTTTGTCAAGTCCAGGTCAGGAAGGACGGCATCGTCGCTTTTTATTTACTAATTTTGGTATTTATGTTGCCACACAACAATAATAAGTAATAAAATTGTTTACATTAAAAAAAAACAGGTGTTTAAGGTCATTAGTTTTATGTTACTTTATACTGTTTTTTTAACGGTTAGAAAGGAAATTAACCAATTATTGAACTTAAGATATTGATTTATCAGAATTATTTAAGATCACTTGCATGCCATCTAGCGTCCCAATGTTTAAACGTCGTCTTTCGTTTGCTTGTCAAAAGTCACGCACACTGCTAAAGAAGGTTCAAATTTTTCCGGGATTTCACTATTGTTTTTCTCAGTATATAATGTAATTTATTACCTATAAAGGTCAAACGCGTACACATTTCATTGTAGAGAAGTGATAAAAGGATTAGTTTTAATGAAAGAGTGTCTGTGTTTAGTGCATAATTTGATTAAAAAATGTATGTACGGACGGCCGGCGCTTCCACCTTAATGCTGCTGTGTTTCGTGTGTTGAGTGTAGAGAACCGGAGACTCATTTTACTAGAAACGAGACATTCCATCTTATTCCTCAACGATGACAAGGTACCTGTATTTTGATTCTTAATTGAGGATAAATGTAGATGTTTATGGGCCACAGTATCCACTTACCGTCAGGTGGACTGTGTGCTCGTTTGTCACCCTATATATTTTATCGATTTGTAGTCGCGCGCTAGGGGCGCATTTAGCCAAGCCAAGCGCTTAAAAGGTTAAAGAACACATACATACATACATAAACACTCACGCCTGTCACCCAGAGGGTTAGGCAGAGACTACAGACTTCCATTTGACACGATCCTGACAACTCTCTCGCCTCCTTCACATCCATACACCTACGCATACATGCTCGTCGGTTAAGGGTACTTCTAATTTGGCCCGTTTTCAATAAATCGCCAATTTGGTCGATAAATTTTCGCCTAGGACGTCCCTTTCCGACTCTGCCATTCACTTCTGCAACATAAATTTTCTTTGTCACTCTTTCCTCATTCATTCTTTCCACATGATCAAACCACCGAAGCATTCCTTTCTTAATCCTGGTCACAACATCATCTTGCAAACCACACTCTTCTTTACACAATTCCTTACCCTGTCATTCAGATTCAGCCCTAACATACTCCTTAACGACCGCATTTCTACTGCGTTTATTCTACTCTCGTGCTTCTTCTGCCACACCCAACTTTCACTACCATACGTTAAAGTAGGGACCAACACAGCATTGTGAATTGCCATACGTGCCTTTTTTGACACATTTTGACTCTTCACAATAGAGTGCAGGGCCCCATTTACTCTATTTCCCGCATTCACTCGTCGTTCTATATCCTCATCATATCTCCCATCCCTGCTAAATACGCAGCCCAAATATACAAACTCATCTACTTTCTCGATCAACTTTCCCTTCTATTCTTATTTCACAAATCGTTTTACTTTCTTCTCCTTCAAAAACCATAACCTTCGTCTTACTTGCGTTCACTTTCATACCCCTTTCTTTTAATGATCTGTTCATTAATGTAACCATCATTTGCAACTCGGCCGCCGACGACGCAAGGATAACTTGATCATCGGCGTACAAAAGGCATTTGACGGTTAACTCACCCATACTTAATCCGCATTCTTCAACTTTCAAATTTTGCAAATAATTGTCCATAAATAGGTTGAACAGCCACGGGGAAGCCACACAGCCCTGTCTGACACCTTTATGGATGTCAAACCAGTCCGAGTAGACCCCGTTGATCCTAACACAAGCACTAGAGTCCCTATAAAGAGACTCCAATGCCTGTATCAAGCCAGCGCTCAACCCAAATGAGTTCAGTGTTTGCCATAGCACATCCCTATCCACTCTGTCGTAGGCCTTTTCCAAGTCCATGAACGCACAAAAAACCTTTTGGTTTTTGGCCAAAAACTTCTCCGCGATCATGCGCATGGAAAAGACTTGATCTGTACCTGTCTGATCTGTTAAAGAACACGACCCGTTATTATATAGTACGGTGTTCCAAAATACTATATTTCAAAATATTTATTGCTCAAAATAATAATTAACAATTGAGAAATAAAAATGAAGAGGTTTATCTCTGGACTGATTTTATTATGAGAAAGGTAGTTGTTAATAGCATAAGTACTTATTAATAAATCGTTTAAGGTCCTTTAACCTT